TACCATCGCTCACACACTAGTCTTCTAACAATACAGTGGTACCTCGGTTTTCTATTGTAATCCCGTCCGGAAGACCGTTTGAGCTCTGAAACATTCGAAAACCGAGGGATCCACAGCGGACAGCTAGGCCTCAGGATCTTGCCCTCAGTGGAAGCCACACGGCATGTTCGACTTCCAAGGCACGTTCAAAAACCGAAGCATTTACTTCTGGGTTTACGGCGCTCATAAACTGAAATGTTCATCAATGGAGATGTTCAAAAACTGGGGTACCATTGTATAGTGTTTCAGAGTACCTCAGCACTGTCCTTCCTCCCCCTCAACCTGAAATCCATGTTGGGCCAGCCCAATCAGGAACACAGCCTAGTTCTGATCCCCTAGACAAATGTAGGAGCCATTTTTTAATATCAAATCTCTGCCAGGTGACTCTATAGCTTGGGAAGGAAGGCACAGCAGAAACACCATTTATTTAATTCAGTTCATGAGTGCCTGATATATTCCTAACACTGTGCTTGATGCTATTAGGGAGAGAAGTGTCCCAGGCTAACAGTCATTGACGTAGGATCAACACAATTATATAAAGAAAGGTATGAAACAGTACGTGATCAGCTGTGATCTCTCTCCTTTGTATGTACTGCGCTAAGAAGGCACCCTTGTCAACTGCCTTGCTACCATGGTGACAGTTACTAAGATATGCATAGATCCACATATGAACAGGTTACAGAGTTCTGTTTTGTTACTGTTTTTAAATGTGCAGTTTCACCAGTCAGATGAATAATTCTTAATATTGGTCTCCAATTTTTTATGTGGATACTCTAGTCAAGTCCTTGAAGAAAACCAAACCAAGAGCATGAGGACCCATCTATGCTGATAAAGCACAGTTTGGGGTTTTCCCATTGCTAGGGGATTGGCTTTAACCCTTTAGGTGTAGCCTGGAATGACCTCAAGTGTCCCAGACTTCTAAGTTTATCCAATCTTTTTTTCAAAAATGTGTTTTTATTGATTTCAGAGAGAGGAAGGGAGAGGGAGAGAGACATAGAAACGTCAATGATGAGAGAGTCATTGATCGGCTGCCTCCTGCATGCCCCCTACTGGGGATCAAGCCCCCAACTCGGGCATGTGCCCTGACCGGGAATCGAACCGTGACCTCCTGGTTCATAGGTCAACACTCAACCACTGAGCCACGCTGGCCGGGTTATCCAGTCTTTTAATATACAGGGAATGCCCCAAGGTTATCCCAAGGCCAAGAAGGAACTCTTCACCATCTGTTAGTCTAAATTCCTATTTTTGTCTTTCTTGCGGTTCTCTTTGCCCCACCTCATCCTACTTGTGACCACTATCCTCTCATTTATTCCCCAAGCACCATTATATACATGTGGTTGTTTATAACAGACTATTATTGAAAGTCTGGGAATAATAATATAGTGCAGGACAGGAAATAAACGTATCCAAAGTTCTTTGGCCATTTTCAACATAGGAAATTTCTCACTGTTACCGTCTCCTCAGGCCCTGTCTGCTGTCATTTTGCTCAGACTTCCTCTACTCCATCTTTTTTCTGAGTTCTTCAGGTCCAACTCTCTATAATGTTATTATTCCAAACAATGAAACTCTTGTTGTCAAACCCTCCCCCATAGGGACTAAGTCATAATCTAAAAAGGTCCATCTTTTTTTTTTTTTTTCTCTTCAAACAAAAGTTTCATTTATTCCAAAGGTAAATTTTACCATTCCCCCAGGATATAAACTAGCAGCTAAAAACAGCTATTTTTAAAAGTTATTCTCTTTCCCTGTTTCCATGCTTTTTGACTTAATTCCCTACTTGATCTGTATTTAAGGTAGCTTTTTTCTTGAAACTCAACTACAGATACAAAGTCAAAGTTTCAGAAATGTTTTGCATTGTGCATAAGTCATTCATATGTTTGGGGAGAATTCTAGTTCCTTTTTTAAACTTCATTTTCTAAAAAGCGATTCCTCAAAGATTCAGAAAAGCTACGAAATGATTTGTGGTTTCAGATTACCTTATAAGAGATGGGGAACAGAATAAAAACTGGAACCCTACAGAAAACCCCCTACTATGTCTGGCATTATCCATAAGCCAAGACTCTTTTACATGCACGCAGCATAATTTTCATAAAAGAAACCTTTCTGCATTCAGTCACACGGGTAGATGCTCGAATAGTGACCGCAGCTCTGCTTTAAGGATAAGAATCTTCTCTCTGACTACAGGAAAGTTTCCAAAGGTGCTAATTGCTGATTTCTCTGAGGTAGCCCTAAATTACAGTTGAATGTCATCTGCAAAGGAAGGTAACATGACAATAAGCACAGCTTCTTGTGAAGACAGGTATTTCCCCTTGGGCACATCTCAATCTATATCTATATATGCCTATCACGAGCCTGGTACATACTATGCAGAGCACCAGTCTAGGTACCATGGAGAATGTGAGAAAAACAATATAAGACAAAATCAAGATCTTATAAGAACTTGGAATTTAAAGGGTAAGAAAGCTCTTGGTATATGGAAGAAATAATTATAGAATAAAATACAAAGTAGAATTCATTCGCAGAGTTCTAAAATTTTAGAGCTAGAATTATTTTTAAGACAATTCACTGATATGCAGAGAAAACTGGAACTCAGAAGGGTTAATAGTTACCTGAGGTTACACAGAGAATTACGAGCCGAGACAGGAAGAGACCACAGGTATCAAGAGCTTTGTCTACCTTACCATATGTAATAACTATCAAGCATCAAGTCTATGCAAGGAAGTATATAGCTAAAGATACACATGTGAAATGCCTAGCACAATGTCTGGAACTATCAGTTGTCACCATTATCACAATCATCATCATCACAGTGGTTAAGAATATAAATTCTGGTATTAGCCAGACCTTGAGGTGACTCCCAGTCCTGTCATATACTGTGTAACAGGAGATAAGTTACCTACCTTCTCTAAGCTCCAGTTTCTTAATGTATAACATGGGAATAAAAATAGTGTCTACCTAATAGGATACTTGTGATGCTTTTATATACACTCATTTGAGTACGTGTGTGTGTGTGTGTGTGTGTGTGTATACATATATATAAAAATGTTCACATACTAGCCACTCCATAGTATTAAATAACCTGTATAGGTATAAGAGTCAAATATGGACACACATGTACAGTATTGGTGGGACTTTTCTTTGCAATGTCAAAAAGAAAGCCAGAAAGTTAATATTTACTGAGCTTTCACTATATACAGATATCAGCATACAAGAGTATGGAGCAGAGAAAATAAGAGAACTTCTACTTAGAATGTTATAATATAGGAACTATTTATTATTGTCAACAAATATACACTGATTACCTGCACAATGATAGATAAGACTGAGTTTCTGCTTTCAAGGAGCTTGTAGTCTAGTGGAGGAAGAATCCAAGCTATTACCATATGGAGGGATATACACACTGCAGAGCCAGAGCCAAGAGCTATGGAAGCTCACAAAAGGGAAATCCATCCAGGAAGGTTGGATGGAGGTAGAGAAGGTTGTGGCAGAGAAGCCTTCTCACATCAAAGAATAAGGAATTGGCCAGTGAGAAGAGGTGGAAAGAGCCTAAAGCTACAAACCAGCAATGGCGGGTGCTCTGAACCGGCTCTCAGCACCCATTCCAAATCGGTAGTGTGCTTTCTCATACTGCAGGGGCTAAACAAAGAAAAGCCACATTCCTCCACCTCCCTGCGGTTAGGGTTCTACTTATGCCAATTAGAAGCACTTGGAAGGTGGATCCCAGGCTGGAGTCATCTGCTTTGCAAACTCAGAGTGGACACCCTGGGCTTTTCGGCAGCATTATTTCAGCGTCCAGGTAGTCGCAGGTGCAGCAGTGGCTTCCTGTTTCTTGGGTCACAGCTACCATGGGATCTCTTTGAACTTAACAGTACCAGTGGAGTCCTCTGACTCGGACCTTTCTGATTATTGCAGGGGTAGCAGCTGCCCCGTAGACCAGTTCAGCAGCCTCGTCCTGGGAATCATTCCTGGAGGCCCTGCTAAGTGACCCTTCCTTTAAACTTTCCAGTGATTTTTGTGAGCTCCTGATTCCCTGTATTAAATCCCCTTTTCCTTAAAATGGTGTGAGTGGTTCCTATATCTTGTACCTAATACACCAACACAATACAAAACGCAAAATGTGCCATGAATAATACCATTTGCAGGGATCAGTAAACTTTTTCTTTAATGGGCCAAGATAGTAGATACAGTATTTTAAGTTTTGTGGGCCACTTATGATCTTGATCTCCTTTTCCTCCTGTTCATTGTTAAGTATACTTACATTGCTGTGCAACCATTTGCAGAACATTTTCATTTTGCAAAACTGAAAGTCTGTACTCCTTAAATAACAATTCCCCATCTTCCTCTCCCTACCTCCTGGTCCCTGGCAACCACCACTCTACTTTCTGTCTATAAATCTGACTACCCTAGATACCTCATGTAAGTGGAATTATACAGTATTTGTCTTTTTGTAACTGGCTTCTTTCACTTAGCATAATGTCCTCAAAATCCATGTTGTGGCATGTGATAGCATTTCCTTCCTTCCTTCTTCCCTTTGTAAGGCTGAATAATATTCCATTGTATGTATATACACCATTTTCTTTATCCACTCAACTTCTTATGGACATTTGGGTTGCTTCCACCTCTTGGCTATCGCAAATAATGCTGTTCTGAAAGTGGATGTGTAAATATCTCTTCAAGATCTTGCTTTCAGTTTTTTTGGATACATACCCAGAAGTGGGATTGCTGGATCATATGCTAATTCTATTTTTAATTTTTTGAGAAACCACAACACTGTTTTCCATAGGGGCTATACCATTTGACATCCCTACCAACAGTGCTCAAGGTTTCCAATTTCTCCACATCCTTGCCAACATTTGTTATTTTCTCGTATTTTGATTATAGCTATTCTAAATGAGCGTGAGGCGATATCTCATTGTGGTTTTGGTTTGCCTTTCCCTAGTGATTAGTGATGTTGAGCATCTTTTCATATATGGTTGTCGGCCATTTGAATACCATTTTCTTTGCCCATTTTAAAATCAGATTATATGTTTTTATTGTTGTTGAATTAGGAGTTCTTTACATATTCTGGATATTAACCCCTTATCAGATAGAGGATTTCCTTAGGTTGCTTTTTCACTGTTGCTGATGCCAGTTCAGTTTTACTCTGTGCTCACAAATGGAAGTCTAGTCTGGAGCAACTTGCAGGCAGTCTGGCGGATCTGGAGCAATCTTCCATCCTAAAGACACTAGTGGAAATGAGCGAGAGCATCTTTATTTTGGACACTTCAGGTCTTATATACTCTGATTCCCTATTATACTGAAAAGCATCTGCATGCCTTTACTTTGAACTAGGACCAGCCTCAAGACTGGGGAGTAAGTCGGAGTCATGGAGGTAGATTCACCAGATTCATGTTTTGCATTGTCAAGTGCCTGCCAATCAAATACAATTTCAATATCTATTTTTCAATTTAACCTGCTCCTTTTTACTTCAAATGGTAGTTCAGTGTAGCTTCTTAGATTCTCCATATTTATTTTGAGGTGATAAAATAGCCGAACCCTTAATGATTTCCAGTCTAACATATTGAGAGTTAATTCATGACAGTCTAAAATGTAACCCAATTCACACAAACCTGGCTCTAAAAAAACAACAACAAAACTCTTGTTGATTTCTGTATTAGTGGATACTGAATAGCATGGCATGGTGCATTTGACAAAATATCCTACTTGAAGAGATAAGATTCTGATTTATAAAATATCTATTTCCACTTTTTTTAAAAAAAAAGATTTTTTATTGATTTTTAGAGAGAGAAAGGGATAGGGGGAGAGAAACATCAATGTGAGAGTGATACATCAATTGGCTGCCTCCTGCATGCCCCACACTGGGGATTGAGCCTGCAACCCGGGCACCAGGAATCAAACTGGCAACCTTTCAGTGCATGGGACGACATCCACCTGAGCACACTGGCCAGGGCAATCTATTTCCTCTTTTAACTACTTGTCTTTTAGAAGAAATTAGGAAACCTTATGTGCACTATTTTTCTGGTCCCCACAAACAAAAGATAATGTATGACAGAGCTGCATATGGCCAAGAAGAAGAAATGCTGGAAATGCAGGATCCTAATTCTCTTCCTCCCTGACTTTAATGTTAAGTTGCTGCTATGTAAGTATTTGTGTACAATGATACTCATCACTGTATTACTTCTAATCATGAGTGTCAGGAACAGTGATATTTATAAATGAATTTAGCTGTAAAAAACAGAAAACCCAAACACAAGTAGGTTAAAACAAGTTATTTTTCTCATCATAACAAGAAATTCAGATATTGGCAGTTGCTGGCATTGATTTAAATATTCAACAATCTCCAGGCCAAAGCCTTTAATTTTCTTAACTTTTCCCTCATGGATGAAAGACGGCTAATACAGCTCTAGACATCTCATTCCTTACAAAGCAGAAAAAATGGGTAAGAGATGATACTAGTTTTGGCTGTCCCATTTAATTTGGACAGCAAAATTTCCTGGAACTTTCCTTCAACCTCAGAGATCTTCAGCTTACTTCCCAATGGCTGGAATTTATACCACCCTGAGTTGTGAGGGTAGGAAAGTGAAATAAATGGGAAGATTTGGGTTTTCCCATCCTTGAGGCAGGCAAGTGAGAGGGAAGTTGGGAACCGGTTTTGATCTACCGAGTTTTAGGGTCTGCCACAGAGAAATCCAGGAAACAGACAAATATCTAAGAATAGAAGATAGACTGAGCATGATGTACCATATGATTCCCAGGTGGCTGCAAAATTGTTGTATAGAAAAACACTTAGTAGCATGCAAAATTATTCACAAATTTTTGTCAACTAAAAAATTAACGTATAAAACATCGAATCTATTAGGGTGCAATCAGTGTAGATAGATTTAAAAATTTAAACAGATATATGCAAAACATAACAGCTGGAACTTATATTCTGAAAATGTCAACTTAGGTTGAGTTTCCAGAAAAGAGACTCTGAGGCAGAGATTTGCATGCAGGTGCTTTACTGGAGAGTGCTCTCAGGAACAGTACCTGTACGAGGCAGGATTGTGCAGATGGAGAAGGTAAACTGCAGGGCAGTTGCCACAGAGACTTTGACCAGTCCCATGGGAAATTCTAAAGCTGGATGCCCCAGACTGTCCCAATTGAGGGAGTGTGTCTTTGTACTGCCACAATTGACCAGTCATTGGATTTGAGCCGCCCCCAGGGAGGGAATATAACCTAGGGTGAGGTATTTACTTTTACAGAAGGCAATTTTGGAGAGAAATTCAACTGTGAGCCGTCAGCAGCCAACATTCCTGGCAGCTGTATCTTGGGATCTGGGCAGCACACCACAGCATTCACCAGAAATGTCAACAGTGATTATCTCTGGTTTGGGGATTAAGGTTGATTCTCTCTCTCTTAAATACTTTCCAAATTTTCCATAATGAACATAGCATTGTCCTAAGGATTCAGTGAGTTAATTCATGTAAAGCACTGAGCACAAATTCTGGAATTTATTAAGTATTCAATAAATTTAGTTATAGTTATTTTTTACTTAGAAACAGGCATGTACATATAAAACATTTAAAAGAGAAAAACATAAATGTAGAGATTGTCAAGAAAGTATGAAATAGAATTAAAATAATAACAGATCTTTCTGTTCATTTTTGACTTATTTTATCTGTGAAATTATTTCTTATGACATTGCTTTTTTTCCAGCATTGCCCAATAGAATTTTCTATGATGATGGAAATTTTGGTATCTGTGCCATCCAATACAGTAGCCACTAGCCTTGGGTGGCTACTAAGATTTGAAATGTGGCTAGTGCAAATAAAGAAGCAAATTTTAAATTTTATTTGATTTAAATGCATTTAAGTGTAAATAGCCACATACTGCTAGCGGCTATCATAAGGGACAATGCAACTCTATACTAGGCAACGGTTAGAGACTAGATCTAACATAATCCTTGTCTCTTAAAGTTTGGATTAGTTCCTCAACTCACGTGGTATAATCCCCTAATCATGATTTCAAAATCACATTATATTTAGATGTGTAGCAAAACAAAATGGAGTTACTTAAATGTAAAAAAAAGTTGTGTTTTTTTTTAAATCAGACATTTCTACATACAACAGGGAAAGTATTTAGTTGAAAGTTAGGTGCTAAAGGGCTATATAATATATTCCTAATTGTATGGTATTTTTTTAGTAAATAATCTGAAAAGAAAATGAAAGAAGTTGTTCCACAGCAAATGTCTGGTAAGCCAACTCACCAGACATGTGAGAGAGCCATCTTGTAAGTGGATTCTCCAGCTCCAAACCAGTCTTCAGATGATCACAGCCGTAGCCAACATTTGACTCTAACTGTATGAGAGAATGAAACAGAAAAGCCCAATTGAGCAGCTCTTGAATTCCTGACTCACAGAAATTGTGAGAGATAATGCATGATTTTTACTGTTTAAAGTCACTAAGTTTTGGGGTTATTTGATACGCAGCAATAAATAGCTAACATATCATCAATCGCAAACATTTATTGCTACAAAATATCCTGCTTATGAGCTGAGCCATATGATCATTGAAGGTAACTTCTTGCTTTATAACTTTAACGTTTTAACATCTCGCATGCCATTAACTGTATATCTTTTCCTATAAAATTCTTATGAGTCAAGAAGAATCAGCCAATCAAATATTTAGCAAACATCCATTAAGTTCAAACTATTATTCTAGGTGCTCTACTGATTAAAATGATAACGATAACAATAATAGTAACAATGATAGATATTATTAATATTTATTAAGCATCTTAGGCACAGTTCTAGACACTGTACATGTACTCTCATTTACTCTTAATGTACACTGTATTGTCAAATGTTTTCCAGAAAGTTCAGACCAAGTTACCCATCTGCAATAGATAAGAACAGACTCACTGCATGTTTACCAGCACTAGAAGAAGTTTTAAAAAATCTGATAGGTGAAAAATAGAATAATTTAATCTGCATTTCTATGATCACTAGATCTTGATATGTTAAACATATTAAACCTTTGTCTGATATATTACAAATATTTTTCCCCAGGTTGGTATAGCATTTTCTTTCAATTTTTATATAGTCAAGTCAATCTCTTCCTTTGCAATTTCTTTCAATTTTTATAGGTAAAAGATTCTTCTCTATCCCTAGGTCAATTAAATTTTCAATTTTATTTTTATTTGTTTTTTTACACATGTATTTTTTTGTTGCAGAAAACAGGGTAAAGGTTTTTTCCCCATAATCATGTCTCCTGCACTATTGAGTCAATTTTCCTTTCCCCACTGACTTAGAATGACACCTTTACTATCTAAAGAATTTTTATATTACTTGGGCATGTTTATGAACTTTATAACCCTCTTTCATTGCCTATTGGTTTTGGTGCTAGTAGTGCACTATGTATATATACTTATTACTGGCTCCTACTCATTCATCAAGAACCAGCACATTCTCTTCCAGGAAGCCTCCATTTCCCCCCAAAATGATTGCTGCCTTCTGTTTCACCTTTACAACGTAAAATTCTGCCTTGTATCACAGTTAACAGGGTTGATATTATCCAATTATACTCGAGAGCAGGGATCAAATGTACTATATATTCATTAAAATTAAGCTATGGGATTTGTATTACAAGGTAGTAACGGCAAAATAGCCCTAGTTTACCCCCCCCCAAAAAAAACTGTGCTATCCATTATGAAAAGATAATAAAGGTGAGTAAACCCTATATTCTGCCTTAGGGAGTTCACGAAGTAGCGAAAAGAGACATGTAAAAATATAGGCGATTAAATACAGTGTAAGTAGGCAGCATAAGAAAAGCATGTACAAGGAAGGAGAAAGGGAAAAACGAACTTAGCGAGCAGGGGCCAGACCTGTGAGCTGGGTGTAGGGTGTGCTAAACGTCAAAGGACTGCGATGAACCTGAACGGCAAAGAACATCAATTCAGATCTTTTAACAGAAGCTCCATTAACTTATCCTTCACCCCGAGGCTGTTGTCAGGAAGCCTAATGTAGGGAGGGTCGTGTGGGCAAAAGCTGAAGAGCAGCTCTGCTTGGAAGCTGTTTCGTCAGCACGAACCTAAGATGACTAGAACGGGTTTCGGGTGCGAATTAACCCACAGTTTGCGCCTGGGTGAAAATTAGACGTGCAGGTAGGATTTAAAGCCTTACCTACGTCAGGCTTCCAACCTGTGAACCACTTAGAGGAGTTGGTTTAGAAGCTACGGGGGCTGCCTCCTTGCGGGAGAGTCAGCGCAGTTCCAGGCGCGAGTCTAACAACCTGGCCGCGGCCCCCAGGCCCACTGGGAGCCCAGGCCGCAGGTTAGGGCAGGAACTGCTGACGTCACGTAACCGTGACGTCATTAGCACTGACGCAGTGCCGCAGGAGGGGCCTCTCAGCTCACCCCAGAACGCGGGCAGCTCCCGGGAGCAGCGAGTTGGCCGCCTCGCGGTCTGCCCTGAGGGTCCGAATACTCAGAGGCGAAGGAACTGAAGCGCGGAGGCTGCTCCGGAGCTGAG